CGCAAAGCACACTGATCAGCAACGCGCATGCGCTTCTCATGTGACTCCGTAGTGACGTAGACTGATGACAGGGTAGAACCATAATTATCCCAACATGTTGTCCTTTTTTCCTGCTAAACAGCTCATAGAAACAAAAGTTCTCTTGCTTATATCTCGCAAATGAATCGCTCCAGAGATCTGAAATTTCACATGTAGATTTCATTTTCAGTGATCTTTCATATAAGAAAAAATTACTTTAATCCAATAAGGTCACTTTAGCCTCCAGTAGCACCTTAAAGCGTGTTTTGGCGAATGCTTTCTAGATTAATTCGAATATTAGTTCAAACAAGTGTCTAGATTTGGCACGCTGGCCGAATTTGGCACACTGGCCAAGTTTGGCACGGTGGCCGAGTACTCTTTTGGCTTGCTCGCCGATTGTTGAGCTTGCTAGCTCAATAAATATACCACAGTGGCACCTAACTAAAGTACACTCAGGTAGAATTGGAATAAAAACAAATAAAACTTACAAAAGCAGGTCAAAATTACGTTTTTCTTACCTTAAACTTGATCACAACTCCACTCAATGAATGTTAAAGCTGCTGAGCATTGACAATCACAACCATACAGGCTTGACGTCACAATCTCTGCGCACTGCCATTGGTCTGTTGTAAGACAATCAACTTCTTTTCCATTACGTCATTGGAATCTCAGGAATCTTGCCTGACAAGCATGTCTCTTGATCACTTGAGATTTTTTCTGCCTGCACAGTACTTTTGCATAGCTCTATAATGCTGCCGCCCTGCCAGCCTCGCATCTTCGCTCAGCTGGTTCGTTGGCAATAAGGACTGCACGTCTGTAAGAGAGACTTTGCACCATTTATAAAAGGTGTGTAACAACATTCAGCATTTCTGAAGTTTATTGTCTAGCAGCCTGGCCTCCTGTGTCAGTGAGTCAAGGATGATACCCTTGAATTTTAAAACGGTTTCAGGACGGACCGTTTTTTCCTGTGCTACAGGACGTCAAGGTACTCGTACATTTTAAGAAAATTAGCTAAGTCAATTTCACATTTCTGTTTGCTGTTGGCGATGAACAAAAAGTCGTCTAAAATATGTAGCATGCCGGAAGCACCGAAATGATTCATGGCAAGTCATTAAAGAGCAGTGCTAAAAGCTTCAAAAATAGCGCATGAAGAAGAACAGCCCATCGATAAGCAGTAATCAAAATAATAGAGATTTTGCCATTCCATGCCTAACAATAAGTAGTCATTACTGGGATGAATTGTCTTATTCCGAAGGCTAATTTGACATCTGTTTTGCCATAAAACAACCAGCCCCTGTCTTTTTGATGAGAGATATGGCATCGTTAATCGACGCGTAATGGACTGAGGAGCAATCGGTGGGAATACAATCATTTACTAATGAGCCATGGGGGTATGATAAATGATGTATAAGGCATAGTTCCCCTCTTGGGAACTATGCCTAAAGGGGAACAACGAAATATTCTGTTAATATTTATTGGGGTTGAATATCAATTGGGATATCGTCCTGTTTTCTGCTCCAGTTGCTGATGCTATGTTCTTTTCTTCTATTTTTACATGCAACAAATTCAATAAAGTTAAAAGTTTAAAGGTAAAGCATTGGAGGGACCAACAATTTGACCAGCAGCATGGGAAATTGTGGTTTGGGTCGAAAATTCAAGACTGCCTTTAGCCATAGTTCCCAATGAATAACATCCCAAGGATACAGATAAGGGGTGGACGGTCTTGTGTAACAAAACTGTTCATAAAAATACCAGTTACCCAGTTTGGTTGACATGTCTCGAATGATCTTACAATATTTCATTAACTTGGGAGCTTAGCTGGGGAACTATGAATCATGCGATGGCAGATAAAACACTGAGCAAAATCAATATAAACATTATTCAAATATACCTAGCAAGGATTCTCAGGTCTATAACAAAAGGTAGGTTAAGCCAAGTTTCAGTATAATAGGGCAAGTACAGAAAGCCGAGTGCAATGGGCACGCCCAAAAAAGGGGAGCCGGATATGGGTTGTACACTCAAATGGCATCTGACTGCAAAATAAGTGAAATAATGCCGAAGCCCATCGGTCATATGAAAGAATTTGCTGCCAATGTCATGTAAATTAAAGCTTTACAACAGCTGAAGACATTGTAGATGCTAACACATACTCAGTGTAATATAAAAATAGAGTGCAGCCAGTGTCTTGCGCAAAAGGCAATGACATCAAAGGAACTGGCAAAACAAAACAGCTCTGATTTAAAAGAAAACACTACCGTGTCCCATTACTAGCAAAAAACCTCAACGACTTGAGTATTGTTCCCCCAAGGCTGCAATAAAGTTTATATTGCCCCCTGCTGTTTAAGTGAACGCCATCCAAAGCCAAGAAATTATAACGTACCTTCTAAAAACCTCTATGACCCCAACAGATGGCATACGGGATTGGTTCTAAAACTACCCGAAGGTAACATGTTAAAATGTCAACGTTTTTGTTAAATGACACCACGGAATGACCTCAAATAGTTTGGCATACACAAACAAACTGAACGCTATTTGAATCATGTAGCAAGCGGATGATTAGTCATAGTGCGAGAAATCAGGGATTAAAGACTGAGGGATGTGAAATGATTTTTGGCTCAAGTTATTGGGAGTTTCAATCAAAGGATTGAGAAATCGGGATTCCACTGTACTATATAAATTGTTACTATGATAGTGTAGGAAGTACTGGATTAACTAACAGCTTCAGTGTGAATTTTAAATAAGAAGATTTGACGCTACAGATAATAAACTTTTAAAGTTCGTTTGAGACAGAACTTACTCGTGCTCAGCAGGGTTGCCCTGAGCCAACATGGTTGTGTAGGACTTCTTATTCTTGGTTTTAATGCCTATGCCCGCAGTGTGTAGCACCCAGCAATTTAAACAAACATCAGAGAAGCCGCGAAGCGAAGTGATGCAGTCGCCTTGCCTCTCTAACTCCTCCATCCTTTCAACACATCTGATCACTTCCATGCAGCATCTACACTCTTCGTGCTTCACCACAAACTCTATCGAACAATTTGAACATTTGCACCTAAAACAGAGGCAGGAAAAATTTAGAGTGATGGTTTGAAAAAGATCCGTTTATGCCGCTTGAATATATACAGCCATGTGCAGCCAAGCGTTATGAGCAAATTAATTTCTGCATAAAATCACCAAGTAAGCACTTTCTTCTATAAAATTAAATGAACGGTACATAAGTAAGATTTCCATCTATCAGTGACAAAAATATAACAAATAGTTATGCAGACCAACTTTCTACCCCCTCTTCCCCGGAAAACCTGCTCCAAAGAATCTCTTCTTCCTCTTCTTCCCAGGCAACTTGCTCAACATAAGCGGCTGCTTCTTGTTCGTTTGCCATCGGCTCCAAGTTTTCATCGTACGGCAAAAAGTCATCAGTTGTTGAATGGAAGCTATCCTTGGAGGCTTCAGAAGACTGTTCCTCAGCACTTTCAAAGGAATGATCCAAAATTTTGTCTCTGGAGACACAAGCCATTTCACAAAAACACCACAAAACAGACAACAGCGATACAAAAGCTGCTAAAACAGCGACCAATTGCAAATGAATGTGAAACCTTTGACGTCACAACCAACGAGTCCGCTGGAAAATTGCATGCTCATCTGGAACAAGTTTTCATGATGGCGGACGCCCTTTAGGCGACTTTTAGAGCCGAAAATTTTGAGGATAGAAGGTTTGATGTTCGTGTTTTTTGGCAAATATAGTTACTACTTAATATAAATAGATATTGTATGAGGAAACATGCGCAAAAGGGAAGTATTGATTTTCATCTCAGGGGCACTTCAAATTTTGGTAATCAAAGACCATGTACCCTGGAAGACAAGTAAACATAACTAACTATAAGGTCTAGATAGCAGCAGACATGTAAAGATTTTAAGGAAAACGACCAATTTTTTAAGTTTAAAAATGTCGAAACATGTCTTTTAAACTTAAAAAATTGGTTGTTTTCCTTAAAATCTTAACTATAAACTATATATGTTGTCGCTGGACAGATTAATCATTTATCTAACTGAGTTACAACTCCTTCACTGTTGCAACTTTCAAATAATTATGAAAACTATTATGAAAATAATTGTTTTAGGTCTTCAGGAAATAGATGTTTGTTGTTCAGATATTTGTCCCATAATGTCTGGCTTAATTTATACTGCAGCTATAGATCACAATAATCGCTATTAGGTGTCGACTTAGCAGGATAACACGTAGATGCCACTTTTTCATGCAGTCTTCATTTTCTTTTATCAACTTGTTGTACTCTTGTTTCAATGCCACTATAGCTTGAGGGGAAGCATCGTTGACTTGATCTGCCACAGTCTCTGTGGATTGTGTCGTGCCTACTGGAAATGTGCGGATAGTCATCTAATAATAAGAAGTCATCTGCCATGTTGAGAGCAGCGCAGAAGGTTTCTGCTTTGTCTGTCAGTCGGGTTTGGGATGGGGATGGCTGAAGTTGAAGATATGATGATGATGATCCATTGTCATTATGTAATCGCGTCGATGACCGTCTTGATGGTGGGTTAGGAGATAGCAACTGGATTTGGGGATTAGGAAATTGCAAGGGCAGCTGGTTAAGAGGCAGAGTCAATTGTGCTGACAGCTGGTTAGGATGTACTGGAGTAGAGTGAACGGGAGGCTGGTTTGGTGGTACAGAATGCACAGGTAGCTGGTTTGAGAGTAAAGTAGATGGTACGGACATCTGGTTAGTATGTCGAGGAGACTGAACAGGAAGCTGGTTTTGGAGAACTGATTAAATTGGCTGGTTTGGTGGTACAGAGTATACGGGCAGCTGGTTTGAGGGTGAAGTATATGGTACGGACAGCTGGTTAGGATGTGGAGTAGACTGAACAGGAAGCTGGTTTTGCAGAACTGATTGAATTGGCTTGTATTGTGGTACAGAATGTACAGGCAGCTGGTTTGAGGGTTGAGCAGATTTTACAGGCAGCTCTCTCTGTTGTAGAACACTAAATTGTACACAGACAACTGACTCTGTTGAGGCCATTGCACTGAGGGCAACACTAAGGGGAACTGACTCTGTTGTGGAGTAGTATGTATTGATGGTAGCTGACTCAGATTTGGAGATGATCGTACTAAGGATAGCTGACTATTTTGCAAAGCTGTGGATTCCTGGCTCCTGGAAGGAAAATTCGTCTGAAGTACTAGTAAGCTGTTTAGTATCTCTATGCCACCTAGGATAGCAGATCCTTCTTCAGCTTTCTTGGCTAAACCTTTTTTCGATTGTCTTTTACCATCTTTTGAAGTCAGCTCTTTTCTCTTTTGTGTTTTCTTTGGCGAGGGCTCCTCTTCTTGGTGTAGACTTTCTGTCATCAGAGCTGTTTGCTTGTGAGGCCGCTTTGATTTTGAGCCGCTGTTGGGTAATTGTTCCTTTACACTTAGAGCTGTCAAGACTTGTCAGGGAATTGAAATGTTGCTAAGTTGGTCGAGATTATCATTGGGGGCTTTTATATCATTCAACAATATCCGAATATTCTTGTCGACAAGGTCTGCATACTCTTCTAGTGCTTTTTTTTGGTCTGAAAAATGTAAAAAAGGAAAACTTCAATTACCTTTAGCTACCCATGTATTCCTTTAATCGCAATTTAATTGGTGTATTTGAGAATCTATTTCATTTGCCACGTAGATGCTGTGTACATGCCAGCCTTCGGCTCAAGAAATAAAGTAAAGCGGAATTTACTGTTACAGTGTTCTAGTCTCGTTTATTTTTGTGAAAAGGTTGTCATATTAGCATGATAGTGCGACCCTAAGTGACCTCAAACAAAGCTGTTGAACTTAATTAGCATAATTACAGAATTAAGTGTGAATACTGAAGAGCGCGCGTCTGCAAGAACACTTTTCAAAACGGGAAAAAATTGTAAAGCTGATTTGAAAACAATAAATGTAAAATGTTCTCAATAAGACTAGATAGAAAAAGTTGAACACCTGATGTAATTTTGTGTACAGGTCACTTGGGTCCACTTGACAGTGAGAGCACATGAAATAAATGCGAAACTGGGGCAGTTGATATCAGTGAAAATATATTGCAGCCGGTTTTAGATTGCTTCAAATTTGATCTAACAAATATAGTGACTCAAAGCAAGCTACCTGAGTGCTAGATGACTTCTATATTTTACTGCAAACAAAATGGTTACCTTTGTCCCCAACTTTTAATATGGTGGCTATGAGCTGTTCCTTTTTTCCCTTCCATCACACCAATGTACATCCACCTCATTTCTTGCCTCAAATGTCGAGTCAATTCTTACTTAACATTTGCTCTGGCAAGACACTAATGCTTTTGTCCGAATCGAAATAGAGACTAGTGTACATTATGCTGCAGAGCGACCTTCTGAAGGACCTGAAGTGAGACTAAAGCCTAGCTGTGATCCTCCGTATGCGTGCACTATAAAGTGAACTATAAAATAAGCGCCAGAAGTTTTTTGTAATGGCAGCAATTTGATGCAACCAACAAAAGGAATGCAAGGTAAGTCGACACCTGCAAAGCACACATTCTTTCATAGAAGGTGTTGATTGAGACCATGCTCATTCTTGCTTAACCAAGTTATCTAGACTTCTGTCCTGAGCTGAACTGATGCGAAGAGTTTAATTATTCCAGTTTGAAATGTCGTCAGGATTTAAAGAGATCAAAAATACCCCTTATGGCTGTTGCTTCAGGTCTGAAAAGTACTGAGGATGCAAGTAATACTGAGCCTACACACTACATGAGCGGGAAATGATCTTACGTAAGGCACATGTAACGGTGGCACCTTACCGTCTTTGTTTCAAGATGTTTCTGTTCCTATTTTCAGAGAAAAGAGTATTAACAGCAGTGCAGGTGTCTTTGACGGTGACAGTCAATTAGATAGTGGTCATATTGCTGGGGTTTCATCCTCATATCACCACGAAGAAATATTTCAACAGATACAAGAGCCTTTGCGCAAAATGCCAAAGCTTGA